TCGGTCAAGAGGGTGCAAATATCACGAAATATTGAAATAAATAAACATACGCAAAAGTTAGAGTTCCGTGGTAGTTGTGTAGGGTATCATATGGTCGGCCACGTCCGACTATACTGCTCCGCTCACTGGATTTTTATTAAATTGAGGTTAGGGTAAAAAGATCGTTGTATGGAGAGATTTTGATCCTTTAGAAAATATTTCAAAAAATCCACGCTTTTAGCTGTGTTAGTTCTTTAGAAAATATTTTTAAAAAATCAACTAGAGTCCTTTACAAAATATGTGTAATTATACACTTTATCACACTGTGGTACAGGGTGATATGTCTTTGTGCATATGTTTATGAAAGGCAAAAGGAAACGAGATCGACACATGGTTCCTTTTGAGAATATGCATAGAATCACTTTCCAAGTCGATTTATGCATGTCCGTCCGTCCGAATTGGACGAAATTTGGGACAGTTCTTCCATTTGGCCCAAGGACTGACCCTATTGAAATTGGGAAAAATCAGTTCAGATTCAGATATAGCTCCCATATATATTTTCGTCCGCCTCTAAAATGATGTGTGTAAAATTTCTTGAAAATCGGTTCAGATTTAGATATAGCTTCCATATATATGTTCGGCCGATTTAATGTAAATGGTGTACCAAAGTCCCTATATATCTTTCGATTTGCAAAAAATTTGGCATCGCGTACTGAATAGAGTGTAGAATGATGTGTGTTAAGTTTCGTGAAAATCGTTTCAGATTTAGATATAGCTAGTTTCGTGAAAATCGGTTCAGATTTAGATATAGCTCCCATATATATTTTCGTCCGATCTAAGGTAAATGGTTTACCAAAGTTCCTATAAAACTTTCGATTTGCACGAAATTTTGCACAGCGCACTGAATTAAGAGTAGAATGATGTATGTTGAGTTTCGTGAAAATAGGTTCAGATTTCGATATAGCTCCCATATATATTTTCGTCCGATTTTATGTAAATTGTGCACCAAAGTCCCTATATATACATTTCTATTTGCACGAAATTTTGCATAGAGTACTAAATTAAGACCAGAAAGATGTATGTTAAATTTTGTGAAAATCGGTTCAGATTTAGGTATAGCTCTCATACATATTTTCTTCCGATTTTAGGTAAATATTGCACCAAAGTCTCTCTTTATCCTACGATGTGCACGAAATTTGGCATAGCGTGCTCAATTGAGCCTAGAATGATGTGTGCTATGTTTCGTGAAAATCGGTTCAGATTTAGATATAGCTCCCATATATATTTTCGTCGGATTTAAAACAAATGGTGCACCAAAGGCCTTATATATTCTTCGATTTGCACGAAATTTTGCATAGAGTACTGAATTAAGACCAGAAGGATGTGTGTTAAATTTCGTGAAAATCGGTTCATATTTAGGTATAGCTCCCATATATATATTTTATTCCGATTTTAGGTAAATATTGCTTCAAAGTCTCTCTTTATCCTTCGATGTGCACGAAATTTAGCATAGCGTGCTGAATTGAGCCTAGAATGATGTGTGCTAAGTTTTGTGAAAATCGGTCCAGATTTAGATATAGCTCACATATATATTTTCGTCGGATTTAAAACAAATGGTGCACCAAAACCTTATATATTCTTCGATTTGCACGAAATTTGGCATAGCGTACTGAATTGAGTCTAGAAGGATGTGTGCTAAGTTTCGTGAAAATCGGTTCAGACTTAGATATAGCTCCCATATATAGTTTCGTCCGATTTTACGTAAATGGTGCCTCAAAGTCCCTATATATTTTTCGATTTGCACGAAATTTGGCACAGCGTACTGCATTAACTCTAGAATGTCGTGTGTCAAGTTTCGTAAAAATCGGTTCTGATTTAGATATAGCTCCCATATATATTTTCGTCGGATAAATGGTGCACTAAAGTCTTTATATATCTTGCGATTTGCACGAAATTCGGCATAGCGTACTCAATTATGTCTAAAAAAATGTGTGCTGAGTTTCGTAAAAATCGCATCAGATTTAGATATAGCTCCCATACATAGTTTCGTCCGATTTTATGTAAATGGTGCACCAAAGTCCCTATATATCTTTCGATTTGCACGAAATTTGGCATAGGGTACTCAATTAGGTTTCGAATAATGTGTGCTATATATATATTTTTGTCCAAATTTATGTAAATTGTGCACCAAAGTCCCGAAATTCGTGCTGTGTTTAGTTTCATGAAAATCGGTTCAGATTGAGATACAGCTCCTATATGTAGTTTTGGCCGAAAACTTCCTTGTTTGAGACATCAGTCGATTTGTTCAAGGGTAATTATAACACAAACGAGGGTAGGCCCAACTATTAAAGCTAACAAAAGAATTATTTTGAAAGGTCCACCTCATGCTAATCAATGTCGCACTTATATTTGAACTTAAATAAATATCATAGACCTAAAACAGTTTCAGCTCAGTTTTTATATATTTTATACTCTCCAACAATGTGCTTTTGTCTCCAGGAATATTCCGAAGTCCATGGTCAAACTAAAATTCTCACATAGCCTACCAACATGAGCATACATACTTAGATATATCTAAGTATAATAACATTCAATGCGTATGGGTGTGTGTGTTTGTGAACTTACATTACATCGTCCTGGGCTAACATTGGCATTGGTAGGCTAGCTAGGCTAGTGGTAGTGGCAGTAGTAACACGTTTAAATTTCTGCCTCCTGGCATTCTAATCAGCATAATTTCCGTTGGCTATTTGTTAACATCCGTTTCCGTTTTGCGGTAAAAAGGATTTTACACACAGTAGTCGTAGCAGCAGTGCAGTTTGCCTTGGCTAGGCTTTTCTTTTGAATCCATGTATTCTCACATAAGCTCTCATACACACACGCCCTCCCCCTCACACATTACAGCAAGGGAAAGCATGAAACAATTGTAAAGGCAAACAACAGACGTCGTTCGTATATTGCTGAAGGTTTTCTTCTAAGGCAGCACCCAAAAACCGAAAACAGCTTCAAGGTTTATTTACCAACATCTATGCCACCGATGAATATAAGAATAGAGCAATCATGTTTCCAGGCAATAGACTTGTAACATTGGTTACACCAAGTCCACTCGTATTTTTGAGGTTATGTACATATGTGTGGGTGTGTGTGTTTGCGTACGTGATCATTTGATAATCTTATTGTCGAGAAGAAAACTGTATAAAATTGAAAAAGATAACTATCATAATTAGGTTTGGGAAAATTTAAGAACTTCGTGTTCCTTAATTTGGATTCGAGTCGTATGTCACTTTAAATATTTTTTAAATATTTTTTAAAGGAATATCATGTCAATAAGCCAGGATTTTTTAAATAAACATTTTTAAAGCTCTATCCCCGCTGTAAGATTGGATTTTTATACCCTTCACCACGCTGTGGTGCAGGGTATTATGCATATATTTGTAACAGGCAAAAGGAGTCGAGATAGACCCATGGTTCCTATGCATAGAATCACTTTCGGAGTCGATTTATGCATGCCTGTCCGTCCGTCCGTCCGTCTCTAATATCTTTCTCTATATATCTTTCGATTTGCACGAAATTTGGCATAGTGTAATAAACCGAGTCTAGAATGATGTGTGTTAAGTGTCGTGAAAATCGGTTCAGATTTAGATATAGCTTCCATATATATTTTCGTACGATATTATGTAAATGGTGCACCATGTCCCTATATATTCTTCGATTTGCACGAAATTTGGCATAGCGTACTGAATTGAGTCAAGAATGGTGTGTAGTAGGTTTCGGAAATTTGGTTCAGATTTCCGCCAAATTCTTATCCTAATGTTTGTCCGATTAACACGAAATTTTGCACAACATATCAAATTGAGACTTGAATGACGTTATTGCGTTTTGTTGAAATTGGTGCAGATGCAGCCATAGCTTCCATATGTATTTCGAACGGGTGTCTGATTGAAATTAATTTTTTTACAGTGCGGCGTACCGAATAGCATGTATCAATTTTCCTATAACTCGTTTTCAATAAATTTGTCCCATGGTACACAGACGACTCTAAATCTGTCCGAATGGAATTAAATTTATCGTAGGTTGCAGAAAGACATGTACGTATGTTCCATCGAGTGAACATTGACATGCAATTTTAGGGATAGTCTCAATTTAGATTGGGCGAGTTTACTTGCGGCAAGTCTTTGTTTGCTGGAGAGAGGGGCAAGGGGAATAGAATTTGAAAAAATAGCCCGTGCCGACAATTTGTTTTTTGTATTTTGTTGTAGTGTCAGTAATTTGAAATACCAATCCAGAACATTGTCACAAAATGTAAAAAAAAAATATTTTTTTGAAACCGAATTGCCTTGTATAGACATGAAGCAATTTAATAATTGCCGCAAGTAAACTCGCCTAATCTAAATCAGGACATACATATGTTCAATATACCCAAAGTGGTGAAGAGTATCATATAGTCGGCCCAGTCCGACATTACTACTTTCCTTACTGGTTTTATTATATAATTGTGAAATTTAATATTAAATTATAATTTCATTTAATTTTTAAATATAGATTTTTTTCTTTTTTATTTTATTCCTTAATTATGGCTTTTAAATTGTACTTTTTGTATTATGATGGATTTTTGAAAGATATATTTATATAATTATGCATATTTTTAATATTGTAATTGTAATTTGTTTAAATATTTTATTATAAATTCGTGTATGTGATATATGAATATATAATGTTTTACCTTGTTAATTTGCTTTCAATAGAATAGTGCATATTTAATATTCTTTTTATATGGGAATAATATTTTTAATGAATTCCTTCTGCCTTCCGCTGTGGGCAACGAATGATTGCACATAACGGTTTCCTTAATGGAACCAGCAAAACTAACTATAATTAGTTCTGGACGTTCATTTTAGAGAATCTTGCCATTGAACTTCATTTATTCGGAATGAAACTGAATTCACTCGTTAAATTGCCGCATAGAGGAGATTAGTGCGCGAATTCAGTTTGCTGGCACATCTGACAGATCATCTACGTCGAAGAGAACCGGTAGAACAAAATGGCAACAGAGGGGCAAGTAAGTCTAGAACAATTCGAAATTAACCAAATCATCATGAATAATTTAATTATTATCAACAAATTTTCCATTTCATTGACACACAACTAGGTTATTAAATGTAAAGCCGCCGTCGCTTGGGAGGCCAAAAAACCTTTGGTTATTGAAGAAATCGAAGTGGCTCCACCCAAGGCACATGAAGTTCGCATCAAGATAACAGCCACCGGTGTTTGTCACACCGATGCCTATACATTGGGTGGTTTCGATCCCGAAGGTGTATTTCCCGTTATTTTGGGTCATGAAGGTGCCGGCATTGTCGAAAGTGTTGGTGAAGGTGTAACCAAATTCAAGGTGGGCGATCATGTCATACCCACATACATTCCACAATGTGATGAATGCAAATTCTGCAAGAGTACGAAGACGAATTTGTGCCAAAAGATTCGTGTTACCCAGGGTAAAGGTGTAATGCCTGATGGTACATCCCGTTTCACCTGTAAGGGTAAGACACTTTATCATTTCATGGGTACATCGACATTCTCGGAATACACAGTGGTGGCTGATATTTCATTGGCTAAGGTAAGAATTTGTTTTTTCCTATTATATATATATATAACGAAACGTGATAAGAATTCATAACTAGATTTTATTACTTTTTTAATGTTTTGTAATACGGTATAACAGAATTCACGGAAAATAAATTCTGATTTATTACGAAATTATATATATTTAAATTATATTCAGAATATATTTTCATTTTGTGAATATGAGTTATGATGTATTATGATAAAAAAATGTGTAAAAAACAAATAATATTGTCAAAAATAAAGAGAAAAAAACAATATATGTTTTAACCCACTGTGCGGGATCTATAAAAGATACGCCTGATCTGAAGGTACCGTATGAAAGCTTGTCTCCTCTATTTTTAGAAAATATTTTTTTCAGAATTTTCTGACACAGAAATTTTGAGAAAAAAATTTTTGAAAAAAAAATATAATTTTAAGGGACATTATATTCAGAGAACTGCGGGATCTATAAAAGATACGCCTGATTTGAAGGTACCTTATGAAAGCTGGTCTCCTCTACTTTTAGAAAATATTTTTTTCAAAATTTTCTGACACAGAAATTTTGAGAAAAAATTTTTTGAAAAAAAAATATAATTTTAAGGGGCATTATATTCAGAGAACCACTGTGCGGGATCTATAAAAGATACGCCTGATCTGAAGGTACCGTATGAAAGCTGGTCTCCTCTACTTTTAGAAAATGTTTTTTTCAGAAATTTCTGACACAGAAATTTTGAGAAAAAAAATTTTGAAAAAAATATATAATTTTAAGGGACATTATATTCAGAGAACCACTGTGCGGGAACTATGAAAGATACGCCTGATTTGAAGGTACCTTATGAAAGCTGGTCTCCTCTACTTTTAGAAAATATTTTTTTCAGAATTTTCTGACACAGAAATTTTGAGAAAAAAAAATTTGAAAAAAAAAATATAATTTTAAGGGACATTATATTCAGAGAACCACTGTGCGGGAGAAAATATTTTTTTCAGAATTTTCTCACACAGAAATTTTGAGAAAAAATTATTTGAAAAAAAAAATATAATTTTAAGGGGCATTATATTCAGAGAACCACTGTGCGGGATCTATAAAAGATACGCCTTATCCGAAGGTACCTTATGAAAGCTGGTCTCCTCTACTTTTAGAAAATATTTTTTTCAGAATTTTCTGACACAGAAATTTTGAGAAAAAATTTTTTGAAAAAAAAATATAATTTTAAGGGGCATTATATTCAGAGAACCACTGTGCGGGATCTATAAAAGATACGCCTTATCCGAAGGTACCTTATGAAAGCTGGTCTCCTCTACTTTTAGAAAATATTTTTTTCAGAATTTTCTCACACAGAAATTTTGAGAAAAAAATTTTTGAAAAAAATATATAATTTTAAGGGACATTATATTTAGAGAACCACTGTGCGGGATCTATAAAAGATACGCCTGATTTGAAGGTACCTTATGAAAGCTGGTCTCCTCTACTTTTAGAAAATATTTTTTTCAGAATTTTCTGACACAGAAATTTTGAATTTTTTTTAAACGTATCGTTAAGGGCTACAAAACGAATTTAACTAGCAAAGACACACAGCAGTATGTGGCTTGTGCTAAGTATGTACAGTAAGTACTGTATGCAGTATAACAAAGTCAGAGGAGAAAATGAATTCGGTATTTTTTTTTTTTTTTTTTTTTTTTGAAATAATATATTTATTTTATATTCATAATATATTTTCATTTTCCTATTAGAAAATATTTTATTTATAAATTTCTGAAACAGAAACTTTTAGAAAAAAAGTTAATATATATATATATATATATATATATATTATTTTGAAGGACATTATATTCACAGAACCACTGTGCGGGATCTATAAAAGATACGCCTGATCTGAAGGTATTTTAGAAAATGTTTTTTTCAGAAATTTCTGACACAGAAATTTTGAGAAAAAAAAATTTTGAAAAAAATATATAATTTTAAGGGACATTATATTCAGAGAACCACTGTGCGGGAACTATGAAAGATACGCCTTATCCGAAGGTACCTTATGAAAGCTGGTCTCCTCTACTTTTAGAAAATATTTTTTTCAGAATTTTCTGACACAGAAATTTTGAGAAAAAAATTTTTGAAAAAAATATATAATTTTAAGGGACATTATATTCAGAGAACCACTGTGCGGGATCTATAAAAGATACGCCTGATCTGAAGGTACCGTATGAAAGCTGGTCTCCTCTACTTTTAGAAAATGTTTTTTTCAGAATTTTCTGACACAGAAATTTTGAAAAAAAAAATTTTGAAAAAAATATATAATTTTAAGGGACATTTTTAGAAAATGTTTTTTTCAGAAATTTCTGACACAGAAATTTTGAGAAAAACATTTTTGAAAAAAAAATATAATTTTAAGGGACATTATATTCAGAGAACCACTGTGCGGGATCTATAAAAGATACGCCTGATCTGAAGGTACCGTATGAAAGCTGGTCTCCTCTACTTTTAGAAAATGTTTTTTTCAGAAATTTCTGACACAGAAATTTTGAGAAAAAAATTTTTGAAAAAAATATATAATTTTAAGGGACATTATATTCAGAGAACCACTGTGCGGGAACTATAAAAGATACGCCTGATCTGAAGGTACCGTATGAAAGCTGGTCTCCTCTACTTTTAGAAAATGTTTTTTTCAGAAATTTCTGACACAGAAATTTTGAGAAAAAAAATTTTGAAAAAAATATATAATTTTAAGGGACATTATATTCAGAGAACCACTGTGCGGGAACTATAAAAGATACGCCTTATCCGAAGGTACCTTATGAAAGCTGGTCTCCACAACTTTTAGAAAATATTTAATTCAGAATTTTCTCACACAGAAATTTTGAGAAAAAAATTTTTGAAAAAAACATATAATTTTAAGGGACATTATATTCAGAGAACCACTGTGCGGGATCTATAAAAGATACGCCTGATTTGAAGGTACCTTATGAAAGCTGGTCTCCTCTACTTTTCTGACACAGAAATTTTGAGAAAAAAAGTTTTGAAAAAAAATATATAATTTTAAGGGACATTATATTCAGAGAACCACTGTGCGGGATCTATAAAAGATACGCCTTATCCGAAGGTACCTTATGAAAGCTGGTCTCCTCTACTTTTAGAAAATATTTTTTTCAGAATTTTCTCACACAGAAATTTTGAGAAAAAAATTTTTGAAAAAAACATATAATTTTAAGGGACATTATATTCAGAGAACCACTGTGCGGGATCTATAAAAGATACGCCTGATTTGAAGGTACCTTATGAAAGCTGGTCTCCTCTACTTTTAGAAAATATTTTTTTCAGAAGTTTCTGACACAGAAATTTTGAATTTTTTTTAAACGTATCGTTAAGGGCTACAAAACGAATTTAACTAGCAAAGACACACAGCAGTATGTGGCTTGTGCTAAGTATGTACAGTAAGTACTGTATGCAGTATAACAAAGTCATAGGAGAAAATGAATTCGGTATTTTTTTTTTTTTTTTTTTTTTTGAAATAATATATTTATTTTATATTCATAATATATTTTCATTTTGCTATTAGAAAATATTTTATTTATAAATTTCTGAAACAGAAACTTTTAGAAAAAAAGTTAATATATATATATATAATTTTGAAGGACATTATATTCACAGAACCACTGTGCGGGATCTATAAAAGATACGCCTGATCTGAAGGTACCGTATGAAAGCTGGTCTCCTCTACTTTTAGAAAATGTATTTTTCAGAAATTTCTGACACAGAAATTTTGAGAAAAAAAATTTTGAAAAAAATATATAATTTTAAGGGGCATTATATTCAGAGAACCACTGTGCGGGATCTATAAAAGATACGCCTGATCTGAAGGTACCGTATGAAAGCTGGTCTCCTCTACTTTTAGAAAATATTTTTTTCAGAATTTTCTGAAACAGAAATTTTGAGTAAACATGTTTTGAAAAAAATATATAATTTTAAGTGACATTATGTTTAGAAAACCACTGTGCGGGATCTATAAAAGATATAAAAGATAAAGATCGGATTTTTTTTCAATAGAAAAATGTAGAAACTATTGTGGTTGTGTTCATTATAAAATAAAATCAAGTCATTGGAAAATAATTCCAGTTTTTATGAAATTATATATTTGAATTATATTCATAAATATTTTGATTTTGCGAATATGAGTAGAAATATATTATTGTGAAAAATGTCGAAAGGTATTTAAAAACCAATAATAATGATTTTTAAATATATATATATATATAGATATATATATATATATATAGATATATATATATATATAGACAGGTTTCCACACAACCCGTGAGGTACTGTCACTGTGCGTTGCCATTTATTTTAATTGGTTGGCTCCCCGGTAGGCCTACATACCAACATGTATTTATTATTGCATATATTTATAAATTAAAATTATCACAATGTATTAAAATTATTTTATTTTAAATGGCATAAAACTGAATACGAAATGATTAAACGTTGCCATATTGTTACTCGATTGGGCTACTTACCAAGGTGTAACTATATATATATATATATATATATATATATATGTATAATCTACTTACAATGACACAACTGATAATTTATTTTTCTTCATTACCTTGGTTGCATATAACGCATTGAAATGGCGTTATAAATGATACGTAATAGAATTTATAACAACCATCACAAATTGGTCGGTTGCAGTTACAACATATATGGCTAAATGTTGAACTTTCCAGTCCGCAATGTAGACAAACAGTTTCCATTGAATCACTATACTCTCTTAACATAGTTTTCATATCTTCTCGATAACTCTTTTGGCATTTAAGAGCCGAAGGTTCTTTGTCCTGTATAATAGCTTCAACATACTGCGCTACAAATACTCCACAGTTATAAGAATCTTTCTGGCAATCATGCGGTAAGTATACGATATTCCAGTTGTTAATATCATACATTGATTTAAACACATTAAACATTTGCAGTGCATTGTTATTGCTAATTTCTTCAATGGGGTTCAAAAAATGAAAATT